AGGTTGCCATGAGCTGTGATGCCATGACACATGACACTCTACTGAGGACACAGTGACACTCTGTCTCAAAAAAAAAAAAAAAAAAAAGTTCTCAATTCCCAGTGGTTTCCATGAGCTGTGGTTGCTGACCAGGGCCTGGCCACCTACTAAAACACACAATCTTCTTTAATCCTTTCAGGCAGCTCCTGAGGTCATGCACTGAGTTGAATGAAGAGCTGGCTCCTGCCACAGGGCCCACGTTCCCTTACCCCTACTGCCCCATGCTGCACCCTTCCTCTGTGGGAGCCTGGAAGGAAATGGCATTGGTGTTGGGAATTTCTGGCCATCACAGTTTAACTATGACTACAGGAGTCAGAAGCCCTCAAATCATGTCCCTGCTCTGGCACTTCTCTAGCTTCCACAGCTTCAGCTGTTAAGGCAGGGGCCCTGATCACCATGCCCACTGGCTTGGGGAAGAAGCAATGCTCCCTAACATCACGCTCCTCACCTCCAGGGTACCACTGCCCCCCAACTCCTGGCACTAGGTGCCCTGCCGCAGCTCTGAGGGGCACAGGAGGTATGCCTCCAGCTGAAAAGTTGCACTAGGCACCTCCCAGACCCATTATCCACCAGTCCTTCTCTTCTCCCCTCCAGATGGCTTCTCTTTCCTCTCCCTGGATTCCAGGCCCAGGTTCCTGTAGCTTCTTCCAAGTTGTCTCTTATTATCATTCACCACACAAGGTGAGACCTCTCTAAAGCAGATCATGACTGGCCCCTGCTCCCAACTCCCATACCTGAGCATAGTACCCGTAATGCCACTCTAACTGGACTCTCTGTTTTCACAGTTAGAAGTGAGGGGCTAGACCAGGGCGGTGGCTCACACCTGTAATCCTAGCACTCTAGGAGGCTGAGATGGGTGAATTGTCTGAGCTCGGGAGTTTGAGGTTGCTATGAGCTATGATGCCATAGCACTCTACCAAGGGCGACAAAATAAAACTGTCTCAAAAACATATAAATAAGGCTGGGTGCAGTGGCTCACCTAGCACTCTGGGGGGCCAAGGCAGGTGGACTGTGAATTCAGGAGTTCAAGACCAGCCAGAGCAAGAGCAAGGCCCCATCCCTACTAAAACTAGAAAAACCAGCAGGGTGTTGGGGTGGGTGCCTATAGTCCTAGCTACTCTGGGAGGCTGAGGCAAGAAGACTGCTGAAGCCCAAAAGTTTGAAGTTGCTGTTAGCTATGATGATGCCACAGCACTCCACTCAGGGTGATAGAGCAAGACTCTGTCTCTAAATAAATAAAATAAGATAAAATAAAATAAGCCAGATGTTATGGCAGGTGCCTATAGTCCCAGCTACTTAGGAGGCTGAGGCAAGAGGATTGCTTGAGCCCACGAGTTTGACACCACGGTACTCTGCTGAGGGCAACAAAAACTCGCCTCAAAAAAAAAAATCTGGAAATTTACAAAAAAAAAAATGGGTGGCGCCTAAGGGTAAGATGCTGGTCCCATATGCCGGAGGTGGCAGGTTCAAACCCAGCCCTGGCTAAATACTGCAAAAAAAACCAAAACCAAAATCAAACAAAAAAGCAAACTCACGCCTGTAATCCTAGCACTCTGGGAGGCTGAGGGCGAGAGTGAATTGCCTAAGCTCACGGGTTCAAAACCAGCCTGAGCCAGAGCAAGACCCCATCTCTAAAAATAGTTAGGCATTGTGGCAGGAGCATATAGTCCCAGCTATTTGGGAGACAGAGGCAAAGAGAATCGCTTGAGCCCAAGAGTTTGAGATTGCTGTGAGCTATGACATCATAGCACTCTACCAAGGGTGACAAAATGAGACTGTCTCAAAAAAAAAAAAAGTTATAGGCTTTCCATGGGCAGCCTCCTGCCCTTATGGAGAACCTAAGTTATGATAGCTCAGGCTATTAGGTGCAGAGATAGCTGACCTCTGGGTCACCATTGCACACTGAAACAGCTCCTGGTTGTGGAGAAGCTCATAGTCTGCTGAGTGAAGGGTATGCACCACCAGATTGTTAAGCACAGGGACCAGGCAAAGAGGAAAGCACAGCCACTGCCTACTGGCTAGAGGGGAAGCACACCAAGCTGTGGTCCCACAGAGAAGAGGGTCTCTCTTTTGGGGCTCCTAGGAGGGCTTTCCAGGAAGGTGACCCTGGAGCCAACACTGAAAGGTGAATTAACTGCTCCCAGAGAAGGCAAAGCTGGATGTGGTAGAGGAGAGAATAACAGCTGGACAAGAAGGGAATCAGAGCAAGTGGAGCCTGGAGGGGGCAGTGAGCTGAGCTGGGAGCTGGTGGGGGTGGATGACAAAAGGATAAGAGACACTATAGGGCTCAGGTGGACACAGGGTAGGGACATCTCTCTGGTGCCCTGGAATCATGCTGCAGACCTCAACGACACAGAAAAGGCTTGGTGGGCACCAAGGTTGAGGTCGCTAAAAGGGTTGGGGCCTGAGGGGCCTGGGTCTGGAGCAAGCCTTCTCTGGGGTGGAGTGGAGGCGTTACCCAAACCTCACCTTAGGGGATCTTTTTTCTTTTTTTTTGAGACAGAGCCTCAAGCTGTCCCCCTGGGTAGAGTGCCAGGGCATTACAGCTCACAGCAACCTCCAACTCCTGGGCTCAAGCGAATCTCCTGCCTCCGCCTCCCAAGTAGCTGGGACCACAGGCGCCCACCACAACGCCC